CAATAAAATAAAATAAACAATACCCACCAACAACAAATAACATAAATAAATACATCAGCACTGCATTGAACCTCCTCGGGCCACCCATTCACTATTCTTATTTTAACATATTTTCCATTTTAACATATTTTAACATCTTTTCCACCCAACACCCATCATCACATTTTCCACTTTTTTTAACATCATCTCCCATCATTTGCCTCATTTATTCCACCCACCAAACGCCTATGCTTTCCCCATTAATACATTTTTTATTTTTATTATTTCTTTATTATTTCTTCCCACCTTCTTTTTTTTTCATTATCATTCCTCATCCATGCTCTTCCACAACAACAGAACACAAAATAAATAAAATAAAATAAAATAAACAAACAAACAAAAAAAAAAAAAAAAAAAAAAAAAATTACAAATTTACACACCAACTCATATTTTATTCATCTCCGGGATCCCTCCCGATCCCAATTTTACACAAAACAAAAAAAAAAAAAAAAAAAAAAACAAACAAACAAAAACAAACAAACAAAACACAAACAAAAACACACGGCTTTGTTTTTCTTTTCTGCAGACGGCCACACACCGACATCCCTTCTCTACTCTTGCCGCCGGTCTCTTCTTCTTGCCTCCGTCCTGGGCGGCCCTGCCCGGTGCTGCCTCCGTGTTTTCCCACTCCACTGGGCACGATCACTACTCCCTGCTCCTCCACTGCAGCATATGGAGGACCTCCAAATCGGAACATCACGGTGGCCTTCCGCTTCAGCTCCTTGTTTTCTGCCCTTAGCACGCTTATCTCTGCTCGCGCATCCTTATACATGCGTTGGAGCAGAGCCAGCTGGAGTTTAATTGCTGCACCTCATTTGTCCTACTCTGCAGCCGGTTCGACAAATTTGTACCGCCGTCATGCTTTCCACACATGCCTTCAAAGTATACTGATTGGCCTCCACATCTGACTGCACTGCCATTCTTTGCTCCACCGACCGCATCGGAAAGGTTCAACGGAGCAAATCCGGGCCGCTTGGTTGAGTTTCCAGTGCCACCGCACCAGTTCTCTCTCTCGTTGACTCGTTGAGGTCGGGAAAGAGGGTGAGCAGCCCGCGAAGACGATGAAGCCATTTTCTAGGCACCAGAGTGTTACACAGTATCTCTCTCAGAATTCTCTCTCAGAAAACAGAGTGTTACAGAATCTCTCTCAGAAATCTCTCTCAGAATATCTCTCGCAGGTTTTTTGCCTCAGCCTCAGCCTCTGTCTTATAGCCGAGGCAGCCACGCGCATCGCGCGCCTCTACCACAGCCGACAAAACGGGCGCGCAAGCCAAGGCGCCCACGTGCCTCGCCATCATGTCCGGCACACCCTTTTGAGGGCGCAACTTTTGATGGCACGTCTTTTTATGGATTGGGCACGCCTTTTGATGGCACGCCTTTTGAAAAATTGAGCGCACCTTTTGAGGATGCGATTTTTTATGGGTTCGACAAGACTCTGTAAACTGTCCCGACATTTGATTCCGGTTAGATTTTTTATGGGTCCGACAAGACTCTGTAAACTGTCTCGACATTGATTCCGGTTAGCTCCTTTATGGGTCTGACAAGACTCTGTAAACTGTCCCGACATAGATTCCGGTTAGTTTCTACAAGGGTCCGACAAGACTCTGTAAACTGTCCCGACATTGATTCCGGTTAGTTTCTACAAGGGTCCGCCATGACCCCATAAACTGTCTTCTACAACGGTCCGACATTACCCCATAAACTGTCTTCTACATCGATATGACACCACCATACAGTGTCCTCTACAACGTTATGACACCCCCATACAGTGTCCTCTACAACGTTATGACACCACCATCCAGTGTCTTCACCAATGGTTTGACACGACCATACAGTGTCTCCTATCCTCTTTTATTTTTATGTATTTTCTTGTTTTTGTAACTCTCTCCAAACTCAAGTTAGTTAGTTCCTATCCCCTTGAGTTTGCGGGGGCTGTTAAAATTCACCCACTATCACCTACCACACTTCACCTACTCTCCACCTACCACTACCACCTACTCCCAAACACACTCCTATATAATAGGAATCCTTGTTAATTGTAATAGATAACAATCTTGTAATATATGTATCAATACATCAATCAATAATACATAAATCTCTACAGTTACCGTTCTATTTACACATAAAGCACCAATTCACTATCATTAGTCTTCTACGGATAAGATTATCTAGGGCCCCACATTGCTCTCTATGGAAATAAGGAAAATGCCAATTGATCAAAGCCTTGTAAACAAATTTCATTGAAAGCAACCCGATCTAGAAAGATTTCATTGCTACAAGTCCTCTCCATTCTGAAGGTTGGACATTTCATACAATCTATCAAATGAACCTTGTCAACTCTGCCAACTCTTGGTCCTACACCTTTATGCGTAACAAAATATCCCTAAAACGCGAAAACTCGAGAACCTTCCTTACATAAAAAGTCAAGCATTGAAGTTGATGCCCAAAAACAAAAGAAAATACCGCATCTAATTTTTCCCTAGCCCCAACCGAAACATCAAATTTGACTATATGAAAACAAAATCTCATCCTTCTCCCAACCCCCACCATTACACTAGTGTGTCTCACATCATTACACAAGCAAAGGATCACCTCCAAAACCAGTACATATTGGACGCATCCCATCCCAATACCCTATACTTATGTGACATGGCTTGGGTACGGATATCAGCTGCACATGTGTATATATGTGAAATTCATTTAATTCCCATGTTTAAGGACATAGAGCATGGCAAATATCCGTATTTCTTCAATCTTCTTTTATTTTATAGTACAAAATGGTATTTACAAGGTGGAATAGAGCATTCCATGCGCTATATGGGAGTTTCATGCATATTTATATGGTAAACTTCAATAACTATACATGTTTGTTGGGTAAATGCCCAACTATACATGTCGACACATTCATACCCTTACTCAAATGTAAGTGTCCAACATGGATACTTCACATATATAAAATAGTCCGTGTAACAAAGCCCCACACCATGGGTATTTGAAGGAGGGGGAAGGCCAATGTGCGCTGGTTTTTGTTAACTGTAAGAGTCTATCCAGCCAAAATACCAACCAACCTTAAAGTTTGTGCTGATGCTATAAGCATCACATAGGATTAGCGGTTGGCTCTTATAAAGAAGAATCAATTGCAAGGAAGGTCAAATGATAAATAAGTAAATTAATTAATTAAATTTTGCAAGCACATAGGTAACTTTAAATCATGCAATTACTTGACTACAACATCCTGCAAAATATAATATACTACAGCTACAATAATGCTTTTCTGCCTTTTTACAAGCATGTCATACCGCAATCTGAATGAAAACTAGAAAAATTTTAGGGAAAGCTCACCATATGCCTCTGAAGCTGTTCTTTGCGCTTCATGAAAGTGAGGCAAAACTCACAAAAGTACAGCTTCAAGGAGTCATTATATTCTGGCGGAAAGGGAGAGAAGTACCATGTCTCGATCTCATATCTTCCAAGTTCTACAGTAGCTATATTCTTAACTTTTGTGAATTCTTCATGTTCACGCAAACTGGCAGCATCAAGCTCCTCATGGCCCTGCACAATGGAAACTAAACACCTTCAGATTATCTTTTCCTGAAATGTTTGCCAATTATGGAGAAATCTTTACCAGGGATATAACATTTAAAAGAACAAACTTGTTAAAACCTATCACCTAGGCAACACCAAAAACTTGCAGTTGTTTAAACATCCACCTACTACCACCTACTCTTCTATATATAGGAATCATTGTAGCATTCAATAATTCAACAATTACAAACATCAATCAATAATACAATTCTCTTTATCTCTTTATACACATTTAAAAGAACAAACTGCACCTCACAAAGTCAGTAGGCAACACCAAAAACTTGCAGTTGTTTAAACATTTACAATTTGTGCATAATTGCTTGTGACAGGGAAGCACACTAAACTAGTTATATAACTAGGGGACAACGACAATTTTCAATACGTGAGATCTATCTTAGTATTTTAGTCTATTAGCTCCTGTACTTGTTCTCTTTAGGTTAGACTTAAACCTTTAATCTATCCTTCATTGACTAATTAGCAATTAATAACAATATTTTGTTTGTTGCCCAATAACAATAATATTAACAAGCATTAAACCACAATAAAATAACTTTCACTGTACAGTCCTCCATGTAACAATAGCAAAAACATTGACTCATGCAGCAATCAAGAGAGGGGAAGGGATACATACCTCCACATGTGTCTCATCAATCTTACGTTTCTGGTGTCGCGTCATTTTCAAGCTTGTTACCTGAAAAAATTAAGGGCAAGGAAATCCTTTCAATTAGAATCGAAAATATTTCCAACAGATTTTCCTTTTTAAAACTTCTCAAAGTCAATATTAGAAATACAAAGAACCTCTAAAACCTTACCCTTATCCCCCAACAAAAATAAAATAAAATAAGAAGAAGAATAAAAAGAAAAAGAAAAAATAGGGGACAACTCAAAAGTAACTTGAAAGGCTGAACTTTAACTTACTGCGCAGATGAAGTCACAATATTACCAAAGTAATTTGAAGTTTCAAATAAAAAACAAGAACTAAAACATTACCTTGTCCTCCACCTTTTCATCTACAACAGTCTCTACTGAATCAAGATCAAGTTGTTCAAGTTTAACCCATTCATCAAGCCTCCTATTGACTGTGAGAGAAACCCAAAAAAAAAAAAAAAAAAAAATTTGTTCAAGTTTAACCCATTCATCAAGCCTCCTATTGACTGTGAGAGAAACCAAAAAAAAAAAAAAAAATGTAAATTAAGACAATAACTCATTGATAAAAATTAAAAAAATAATAATAATAATACTTCTTCCAGATTACTTCTTCTATTAGTATTAAACCATGCATAACATGCCACAAAATCAATTAGTGCAACGAAGTTGATAGGAGCTTCTAAATTCACCTACCCAATCTCTCTGTACTGCATGTACAAGTGTTTCACCCTAATGTATAAGGTTTACCATGCATGTAATGGGTGTATAGAAAAATAAAGTGGGTGTATTTAGAAGCCCCCAAAGTTGACATTGTAGGAAATTTGACATATAACAAAGCTAATCCCTCCTTAAGGCAACAAACAATAGCACAATAATATCAAACAAGAAAACTGCATACATACATCACCAACAACAACATTAGACAAGGGAATTTTGTTCAAAACAAAAAAATGCGAATACAACAGAAGTTAAATGAGAAATGTTTTTGTTTGCTGGCAAAGCTAATTGGAATAAGGCAACCAATAATTTAGAAATCGATCATCTCAAAGCATTTGAAAAGTAAATGACAAGAGAAAAAAAGAAGCCTCAAATCAAGGAAGAGTGAAAAAACACACAACAAGAATGATGACCATAAGGGCATATCACATGATGCACAGTACATGGTTTGGAACTTTAGTACATCAGAATTTTTTATTTTTTATTTTTTTTGGATAAATACAATTAGTACATCAGAAATAACAATGTATACAAAAGTATAAACCTCTCTAGGCATACTCCATCATTTGTGGGCATTGTATGCAACAATACAAGAGGGAGGGAAAGCAGCCATAGAAAGGAGAAGTGACATATAATGGGAATGCAACAATAAATGCCACCAGAAAGCTTTTGTCCACAATTGAAAACAATGTGGATGAGATAAAGAGTAACAGTATGAACATTAGCTATTAGTACCACTACAGAATGACTTTATTCGTACGTCACTTTTTTAGTCCTTTGTTTTTGGTTAATAGCAATTTATTTAAAACAATAAACTATTACAAGGCTCTCAAAAAGAGATATTGCACTTCCTCCAGAATACAATCCTCATGACAAGAACACTGCATACTTCAATATAAGAGGCAGAATGGCAAATGAGAATCACAGGGCACACCCTCAGTTTATTCTTTAGAAACCATGGTCAACAGTCTCAAGGCCTATCCGAACAAATTATTCTTATGCAAAAAGAGATTGGCGTCAGAGCCCAACGTAGCAGTCGCTGTCAGAAGACACCCATACATTTTTCATTTTAGCAAAACTCAGGTCTCACATTTTGGTCCCAATTCTTCTCACTTATCCATTCTCTTTCTTACAAATAATTTATATGACCTCTTTTTATTTATATATCTATAAAACTCATCTTTTCAACCAGTCATTATTCCTACAATTGACGTTGCAACAGGAAGCTATTCTCTTGGACCAATTTTTTCATTCACTAAATCATAGTAGTAACACATAATTGCAAATTCCATAATTCATCCTCAAACCAATCATGTCTCAATTGGGAAGCCCTATATAAAAGATCAAACACATCTACATATTGCTTGAATTCTTCTTAGACGTCTCAATATATATATAATGTGTTAAGTCACCTAGAAGAAAGTATTATCGAAATGGACAAAATACATACAAACAAATTGCCACATTTCTAAGTCATTGATCCTTAAAGCGCAGCTCATCTAACCACAATTTTTTAAACTTTCCAGTAATTATGTACATTGCTAGCAAGCAAACAACATTTAATGCACTATTTGGCTTTCTTCAATTCTCCCAAATCATAAAACAGAACGATCAAAGATTTCGTTTCTTCTCTTGCTTTCGCCAGCAGCCAAACAAGAACAAATCAAACGAATTTCATAAGCAAACACATAATTCAGAAGAAAAAAACGCTAGAGACGCAAACATAAACCCTAACCCTAACAATCCAAGTTGAACAAAACCAGATCGCACAGAGAGAGAGAGAGCGAGAGAGGGAGGTTCTTACACTCGGTGTAGTGAACGTAGTACTCGTAATCGTTGGAGGCAGGGGTCGGCATCTTCCGCCGTTCGATGACCTTGACCGGGTGGAACTTGGCGTCCCTCCAACGGCACATGACGCGAGTACCGACCTCCAGAGGCAGCATACTCGCTTTCCTCTTCCTGGTTGCGTCATTTTCCAGCGGCTGAGCTGGGGTGGAATTCGCCGCCGCTGGAAGTGGGCCGTCACCGGCGGTGTGGTTTCGGGAGCCACCGGGTGATGGGTTTGAACCACCGTTCTCTGTACTTGTAGGTGCCTCTAGGGAACCCATTATTTCGCCAGAACATTCGAACGAGAAGCGCATATATATGTGTGGCGTTTTTTTTTTTTTTTCGGTTTTTTTTTTTAATAAAAAAAAGAAAAAAAAAAGTAGATAGGTGATACCACCACCACCAAAAAAATAAAATAAAATAAAATAACTAAGGCTCCCTTTGATAAGCACATGAAAATATAGTTCTATCAATTAATTTGAGTGTGTTATTTATTTAAAATTTTTAAATCATAATTCTACACCTATTTCTCAAAACTTAATTCAATATATAATCATTACTTTTCAAAATTCATAACTAAACACATAATTCAAAACTTTTTTTAAAACTCAATTTGAATCAATGTTTTAATTTTTAAAATATTTTAAATATTTAAATATAGTATGGAATTTCGAGTTATGTGTTTGGTTATGAATTTTAAAAATAATTTCTTAATTGAGTTTTGTTTTATGTATTTGGTTACGATTTGAGTGTAGAGTAGTGAAAGTAGTATGGAATTTCGAGTTATGTGTTTGGTTATGAATTTTAAAAATAATTTCTTAATTGAGTTTTGTTTTATGTATTTGGTTACGATTTGAGTGTAGAGTAGTGAAAGTAGTATGGAATTTCGAGTTATGTGTTTGGTTATGAATTTTAAAAATAATTTCTTAATTGAGTTTTGTTTTATGTATTTGGTTACGATTTGAGTACAGAGTTGTGAAAGTAGTATAAAATTTCAAGTTATGTGTTTGGTTATGAGTTTTAAAAATAATTTCTTAATTAAGTTTTATTTTATGTGTTTAGTTACGATTTGAGTGTAGTGTTATTTTTAAATTTAAAATATTAACATTTTAAATTATTTAAATTTTTATGATTTAAATTTTTTGAATATTTATTTTGAAAAAAATTATTTCCTTTGTAGTATTTTCAATTAAAAAATTGATTAATGTTATTTTTTGCGAATAATAATTTTTTCTAATTGAATTTTAAAAATAGTTTGGGTATGAGTGTTGATCAGAATTTTCAATAGTGTGAAAGTGGTGTGTTTTGTTATGAGTTATAATAATTTGAATTAAGTTTTGAAAACTCTTTCCAAAACTCATAGCCAAACAAATTTTCTTACTTCACATGTCAAATCAAACTTTCAAAACTCAATTCCACACTCAATTCAACACTCTATTTAAAAACCATAACCAATCAAATTTTCTACACTCAAATCATAATTTCACAACTGACAAACTCAAAATACAACTCATACTCTCAAATCTTATTTATAAAACTCTACCAAACGCAACCTAATCTTCTCAAATTGTCCCTAATAAGAGCCACTTGCAATTGCATATCATTTTCCGTGGATCAATTCTAGACACCGTAAGGCACTCGGTGAGAAATTTTATTTCTACACAACTATTTATCTTAGTATATATTATTTCTCAGTATATATATTTATTAATTTAATTATTAATTATTATTCTCAATTTACATACTAAATATTTTAATTATACTATTTACTCATATCATTGTGCATATACCACCCCAACCTTTTTTCTACACACTTTTTGAAAATTGTAGACCCGCTGCTACGATTCCATTCTAGACAAAGAAGACCATAGTCCTCCATTGAAAACCTCCATTCCATTGAAGATTCCATTGAAGGCCCTATCATAAATATAAATAAATAAATTACTCTGAACCAATAAACTAAAGACCAAAAATAAAAAATAAAAAAAAAATCAAAGAGAAATATTCTCATGTTGATTCTGAAATATTTCAATAGGAAAATAAAACACTAAAAAAATAAAATGAGTCAATCCTCATCTCTTTCTTCCTTCAACTTGAAGCAATTTCAATTTCCCCTAGGATGATTTCAATTCACAACAATCCAATAATTCATATTTCAACCTCGAAGTCGAGTAAACACACCCAATTTCATGTTTTAAAAATCAATTGAGCAAAACCGTTCTTAATTGAGCAAGTTTCAAAATTGGAGTTTGTAGAAAATTAGGGGTTTTCTCTCGTTCATGAATTATAGACTAATTTTCATCATCAACAACAATAATAATCAATAATAGACATAATTCCATCCATAATCATGAATTATTCCCCACATCCTTCCAAATCATTTATTAGCAAACACAATCCATACATACATACATATATATATATATATATATTTACAAAACTGAATATGAAATTACCACATGTAAGTCTCAAATTAAAGATATAATAAGTTAAAGATACCCCTATCTCCAGAATGGAAGCTTGAGATGAAAACCCACTTGAAATTTCAACGAAAATACCAAACAATCGGTAGATATCTCGAACTAGACTTGTTCTTCAATTTTCTTGAAGGATCTAGGGTGGATTTAAGGGGAAAATTGGAGAAATCAAGTGTTTGGAGCTCTAGGGTTTTGGGTATGGAGGAGAGGGAGAAAAGAGAGGAAGAAAGAATAAGATTTTGGGCCAAAAATGATTTTAAAGAGCTAGAATTCGCGCATGACGCTCGAGCGGTCCAAAGTTCACTCGAGCGAACTTGCTTCCAACACAGGTACCCAAATTTCAAATAGGCACAACTCCCTCGTCCGGACTTCATTTTAGGTTGTCTTTGTGTCCAAATCAAAGCCCCGAAAACAAACTCTCTAAGAAACAAATTCCTTACTACACAAAATTGCTTCACCTTTAACAGTAAGACAAATTTGGGGTAAAACCACTAGATAATTGACATTACTATTAATAACAACGCATTGTAATTTAAATAATATCATAGCTTATCGAACATAGTGAAGAAGTCAACCTTAGCTTTAACCATTTAACCTGTATCGCCATAATTTACACCATTTCCTTTTATAACTCTTTTATATATATAATTCTTATAAAACTTGAATTCATAATCCGTGACAGTCATAATTAACAATTATTGATCATTCTAAATTGAAGGTCTCGGCTAAACTCAATGGTACTACTAATCTAGTATATCAACAACATAATTATACTCACTCCGTCATGGCATGCATCAAAACCAACCCCAGACAATTGTTTACATTTCCCGTATCCATAACTCCTACCTCATAACAATGATGAAACATGAAGGGCATGCCTATTTGTCTCAACAAGTCAAATACCACCTCTTATGAAGATTTCCCTATCCCAACCATAAGTCTCTGTTTATTGATAACAACTCCACGCTTGAGCCAGAGTATCAATGCTTGTGAAGCCAATCCTTAAGACACCCATCACATAGCTTCTTACTCATGTTACTTCGCCAACTGAGTTAAATATAACTAACTTTATCTAGTTTGAGAAAGTTTAAAACTAATTCATGTATTCTAATATTAACATTCCAAGACGCTTATCCTTAGGTTACTCTAATCGTCCTTAAGGCCTCAATCAATGTGCATTACTATAAGGTTTAATCCATACCTCACTCCACATCCAAGACCTTTTTTCTGGCCTATTTTCAAAACTTCAATGTGAGTCTATGAGATAATTTCAAGTCTTCATAACCAAAAACAATTCACCATTTAATAAAACCTTTACTATCACAAGGTCACAATAGCTTCTCATGAACTTACAAAATTGGTAAACTAAGTTTCTACAACAATCTCATAATCGCGTTCTCACGTGATCCCTAAATGATATATCTTACCAATAAAAGTGGGGCCAAAATTTCAAGTCCCAAAAGTTTTTTCCCCCCCCCCTCCCATTTGGGGTCACTCTCGTCCTTGTATCCTATAAGAAAATAAAGATAAGGTTTGACCCACACTTAAATACTCCACACGAAATCTCACACGCCATACGCGAGTTAAACATATGCCTATACATTTATCTACTTCCACATAAGGCAAACCACATAAGCATATAGGTACATAAAGCACATACGGATCTCTCCCAAGATATCAACTGGTCCCATGGCGCTCAAAGACTTCCAAGTGGAAAAGTATTGATCAGATGCCTTTTCAAAAGGATTTCAATGAATGCAATAGGCTCAAGTTATTCCTAGAAGCTTAACCCCATACCCAAATAGTCACATAAACATACATAGCATACAAGGTAAACTAACGTCCCTTCCTAGCATAATAAACCCATTGTGGTAAAAGTCACATCCCATGAGCTCAAGGTATTCAAACCTAGTAAGCTTTGATACTAAGTTGTAACGCCCAAAAAAACAATAGACATACTACTCCATCACAATATCCTTTAAACATACACAATCATAACTTCTCGTGTAATTATCTAACATACACACATGTGGTTCCTTTTTTTTTTACTTCAACAAAATTTAACTACTTTGTTTTATTACATTTCTTGACTTTACAACATGAAACCAATTGACATAATCGAGTCAAATCATCCTCCAGTTTTATCCAAGATAATGCCTTAGAGGCTACAAATTTCCAAGGCCTTGCCTAGATTACAAGTAAATGGTTTTCTAACCCACACAAATATAGCCATTGGCTTATCAAAAACAAAACAACAAAAGATAATAGCCTTGTGCTTCCGAAACTATTCTCCATGCCTTTACTTTGGTGGGGGTCACAGCAGCTTTTCCTGCAACAAAATCCACTAGGGGTGAGCACAAAGCCCAATAGAGAATTCTTAACAAAATATATACATTTTATACAGTCTCATAAGAAGGATGTGCATGCCATGCGATGCTCAAAAAGATTATTTTTCTCTTTTGAAAGTCTTATGTGCAATGCCCTTCAAAAATATAATTAATGCAATGATATCTATGTAATAACAAAGAGTGGTAAATACAACTCAGGAAAATCCCTAGGGCTAGTGTTTACAAGTAGACTTATCAGGCATTATCAAATTCTACCTTACCGGTTTCTAATCGGAGGGCTTAGGCACCCTTACGCGCGTGTTTCTGGTCTTGCACCAAGGACACTCAGGCCAACTTAATTCTCAAACTACACCCACTTGTAAACCTTCCCACCGTATTAACATTTGTTATACAAAAACCATCTTTATTAACAACATTAGTTTCACAAAACCATTTTAATTTCAAAAGTGATCTCAACAATGCCAGTTCAAGAGAGAAAAAAA